TCTTCTCCTTTTATTCATCCAACACCCATTATAATAGAGATGCAAGGAGTAGTAGCAATATATATATATATATATATATATATATTCTAAAACATTATTAATGTCTTCTTCTTATATCTCTCACTCTTGTCGTCCACCGCGAGCTGCCCCCCTTGGGGCCCCTCTGAAGCCTCCTCTGTATCCACCTCTGAAGCCTCCTCTACCTCTGCATGCATAATCAAAACATAAATAAATATTAATGTTATTTAGTGCTTCTTTATCCACCTTACGCAACTTAAATGCACTTCAATTCTCTTCTCTTTCGGCAGTTTTGCGGTGTATGTACACCCCAAAGCTCAATATACACCCTACTGCATCTTATCAAATAAATAAATAAATAAAGTAAAGCGAGCGAACAAACAAAATAAAACAAAGAGAAGCACCGATGACCAGCAAAAGCAAACAAGACGGCCTCAAACAAAACAAGAAAAATTAAGAGGAGACAGACAGACAGAGACACTGCAGCAATTCAGCAGCAGCAAGAGTGCAGCAGCAGCAACAGCAGCAACAGCTGCGCAGCAGCAGCAGTAGCAAGAACGAAAAAGTGTGCAGCAGCTGCAGCAAGAGCAGCAACAACGCCTCACCTGCCTCTACCCTTAAACCCTGTATTTGTCTCCTGCTGCTGCTGCTGCTGCTGCTGCGAATCACCCATATCTAAATCAGCATGCGACGTTTCTTCTCCTTCACCTCCTTCACCGCCTAAACCCCGAGGAGGCCCCCCCCTATTCCGTCCTCTAAAGCCGCCTCTACCACGCCCTGCATGCAAAAGCAGCAGCAGCAGCAGCAGCAGCAAGAGTGCAGTAGCAGCAGCATCAGCAGGTGCTGCTGAAGCAGCAGCAAACAATAAGAAAACAAACAAAAAGAAGAGGAGACACAAAAGACACAGCAGCAAACACTCCACAACAGCAACAAAACAACAAAACCACCACTAGCAGCAGCAGCAGCAGCAGCAGCAGCAACAGCAGCAGCAACATAAGAAAGATGTTTACCTGATACTCCCGAGCCTGCAATTTGTTTGAACTCTTCAATGAGCTCATCATCAAGAGGGGGCTGATAGCCTGGCTTCGTGGAGTCAAGGGGATTGAAAGAGAGTTTAATCTCTAAGAAAGCTACAACCCTCTCTTGTGTAAGAGTGTCTAAGCCTTCTTCAAGCGGCTCATACACCAGAGAAACAGTTGTATTGCCGCATGTATTAAGCTGATGCAAGCCCCTGAACCTCCGCTTTAACTGCTCCGCAAGAGCTATCGCCTGACCTATTGCATTACCGGAAGCCTTGATAGTTATTTGACTCTTCTTTTGGTCTTCTATCAATGTACTTGCATACGAAACATAACCTTCTACCCTACCCATCGTCGTTACTCTTATCTCATCGCTCCCGAGAGGCTCTCTAGCCGGTCGAACTCTTCTATACTTCTCCATCTTAGAAATTGTGAAGAAAGAAGCAGCAAAAATGAAGATAAATAGATATTTAAACAAGTATTTACCCTCTTCACCCTAATTATATATTATACGCACCCTCAATTTCTAAGAGACGAGCCCTTCTACCCCAATTTATTATGATGATTATGATCCTGCTGCTCCTGCTCCTGCTGCTGCTGCTCCTGCTCCTGCTGCTCCTGCTGCTGCTCCTGCTGCTCTTGGAAGCAGGTATAGCGATCGAAGCACCTCAATAGAGAAGACAGCAGTTTCTTCTTTTAGAGTTTAACTCCTAACCACACAGCAAACAGAACTGCTGCGGTGTCTGCTGCTGCTGTTGTTCTTGCTGCTGCTGCTGCTGCTGCTGCTGCCCGAAGCAAGCACAGCAACCAGCGTGTCTCGCCCGAAACTGCTAACACTCTTTCCTTTACTAATCAATCAAAAACTCCTCGCCTATACAACCCCAAAAGCACAGAACCTTTCTGTTTCAGAACGACAACGAGAAGCCCTCGACAGGCTATGCCCACACACCAAGGGGCGCAGCTGGTGCTGCATGCCGCTGCCGCTGCTGCTGCTGCTGCTGCTGCTGCTGCAGCCGCCGAATGGGGATTCTCTCCGCATATTGACGTTTATTACTTGTTTTTCCATGTATTTTAATGATATTCTGTCTAATTTATAAATAATATTCAAGAAATAAACAAAAAAAGCAATCGAAATGCTCTACGCACCATCACCAACAACTCCCTGTCTGTACACCGCAAGACGACGCAGCATACTGGGGAGATAGAGCAGAATGAAGGTGTGTAATCATTTTTCTTGCTTTAATATAAAGTAAAATTATATTTTAATTGTTTATTTTTATTTTTTAATTCAAATTGATGCTTAAATGCACCCAAACGCCGCCGCCTTACCTGCGCCGCCCCACCCCCCGCTGCTGGAGCCCACGGTCGGCGGAGATGACTAAAAAACAAATAGGGGGGAATAATAATGCATTTAAAACAGTTTAAAGCATTTAATTGTCTTTTATAACCAAATACTTACTTGTACGAAGTTCATTACCTCTTTTTTTAAGCTCTGAAGAAGTATCGGGGCCTAACCCCCGCATGCAGCTCTTCCTTGAGGTGTCTAGACACCCCAGCCGTTTGTTATATGCGCACTATCTGCTGTCTTCACTCACTGTATGCATTTTTATGTGTAGGGGGGCTGTCTCCAGAGTGTTTAGCAACTATCCACTGTCTTAGGGATTGGGTATGCTAGCAGGGGGAGCTCTGCCTTGCTGCAGATGTGATGAAGGGGTGTGTTGTAGTAATAACGAGGGTCTTCGATATTAGCAAAGAACGGGTGTACGTAAAGAACAACAGCCCAGCGCTAACAGTCAAAAAGCTTAACACCAACCGTTCAAGAAAAGAGCCAAGGCTCTTTTCTTGATGGATGTTGTTGTGCGGCTTTGTTTTATAAATCCTCCTTCCGTTGTTTTTTAGTTTATTTCCTTTTATCTACGCCTGGCTGTTAGCCCCTCTGATTGCTTCTGTGGTGCGCGTCTTTATCTTGCTGTCGTCCTTTGCCTTGCTGCCTGCTTCTTCAAGTGGTGCTACGAGGGTGCATGGAGAAGAAGCCTCAGGACCCCCAAGAGGGAGACTACGACAGACGCAGTTCGGGTGTTAATTTTAACCCAGCCGTGTTAGTTGGTGGTAGTGGATTTGCTAAGCCTTCAACGTGCACACGAAGGCGATCAGAGACAGAGAAGCCTTCCCTGAGCTGAGTAGGTTTTACTCTATTCTTTCTCGGGCAAACACAGTGGTTTTCAGTGTACATGTAAAGTAATGGAGATGCAACCACACCATCAATCTGCAAACCGGTTCAGGGATACCAACGATATTTCGTTGAATCCTCTTCAGGAACCGGCAGCCCTCTTGATGCTAGAGAAGGCAACGGGAGGAGGCTGAGATCTAGCAGATGAGCGTAATGACAAGCAAAGATCAGAGACAGCGTTAATATTACACTTAGCGACAAACATCTAGACAAACACGAGTGCCTCTTTGAGGATCGCTTGTGCGAAGCAATTCCTAAGGAACGTCTACGCTTCCTCTACTCAACGATGTTTGTTACAGGCGCGGGCGTGCTTAGCTCAGCGTTAGGAATTTCTTTAAAGAAAGCTCCCAAAGTGCACAAAACCTTCAATGCAGTAGCCTTCTGGCGTGTGTACTTATTGCCTCTTTCTATTGCTGTAAGATTTTACTTTTTCTCAACTTGTTGCAACATTCATGGAGTCCTGAAGGTGCATTGCGTAAATCCGCTGCTCTACGGCCCTTTTTACTAACAGCGGAGTAGTGTTGTCCACCACTTATACAAAATGTAAGAAAATAATACAAAACATAATGGTTGAGAACTCAAGCATATTAAGTAAGGGTTGTTCAGTGGCTCTATGAAACAACCACGAAACTTCTGCTCCACAATATCTACACACAACAAGGGTTAGGCGGGTGCTTGCTTGCGAGTGCAAATCGAGGGAAGGATGTTCTCCGGTTTTTCGTGGTGTTTCCCAAGAAAGTTCAATCGAGAGGCTTAATAACGTCTTAACGGTCTGACGGTGGCGACGGAAGACAGAAGCATGTTGCTGTTTGTGTTGTCGATGCTGTTGCTGCTTTTCAGCGGCTCGCTTGCAGTTGGTTGGTGCTGTTGCTTCGGCTACTTCTGCCGGTTTGGGTGTGGGTCATTCTTCCTAATTTTTTGTGAAAATGAAGAGAAAATCCAAGAATGATGCAAGAAGGGAGCTAGTGTTTGCAGCTTCTTTCCGCGTTGAGGTACACGGTAGCAGTGTTTCTAGGGCCGTGAATAGCCGTAGGATTAATGCTTGAGGTCTGTATGTGTATTCAATTTGGGTAAATCTAAATAGGTGTTCTCATAAGAGTAAACGAAAAACAACAAACCGCGGAAGAAATTCTGGACTCCTCCTAAGAATCCCTTTTTCCTTTCCTTCAAGACCTGCATGCGAATGGCGTATGATATTGCATGTTGTTCACTTTTTAGTAGCCTGTTAAAAGTTATCTCAATTGCTTCTCGTCTCACGTAATTCATTTCCTCCTCGTCTGCCCTGTAGAATGACTCCTTTGCTGCTGCTTCTTCCTCTTGCTGCGTTAGCAGCGCAGCCCAAGTCAGCAGGAGACAGAGGCAGGAAAGAATAAATAACTTGCCTTTGTCAATACTTTGATCCTTTCCACCTGAAAATTGGAGTGATGATGGAGATGTATATCGCAGGAACGGCAATAGTTTTGTGTTTGATGGGGGGTAAAACAGCAGAAATCGAAAGAAAGCGAAAGAAAGTGTGCCGGGCGAAACTACACAAAGCCGTACCGGATTGTCAAGGGCAGCGTCTTGACCCTTCAGGAGCTTCATGGCTGCGAGCAATACCATTATGAAGTTGGGTAAAACGGAAAGAAAGTACTAATATAATAACAATTGAAAGGCAACCAGCATATTAGGGCAGTACATCAGTGTAAGACCGGCAAAGCCGCAGTGAGGGAGCGTAATGCATACAATGCAGACAATGACGTGTGATAACAATATATAATAGGAACAAGAAAAAGACAAAATAAAATATGTAGAACAATATATTACAGCCATACATGAAAGAAACAGGGAAAGTATAAAAGGTAAACCCTACCATCACTGCCCATCTGCTGGGACTCGACGAGCATTTTCTCGTACAACTTGTTGAAGCTCATCATCGGCTGCAGTCGTTTTGCATTGTTTTGAGGCAGTTGTTTGTTTTTATGCATGCTATAAGCATCAAAATTAAAAACATTTTCGACTAACTTTTGGTGAAATTATTATAAGCGGGGTTTTACGAGGAGGAGCGCCCGCAACAAATCCTGGTACTGCGCCCGCTGTTGTTGGCTCTGCTGGAGCTCCGCCAAGCCCTGGATATTCTGAGCAAAAAAAACATTTTGTTTTTGTTGTTTTCTTTTGATTCTTAATTCATTCTATTTGGTTTCTAGGATGCGAAAAGTGGATAGGAAGAGGGGAGAGAGGAAACTGACGAATATCCAACTTTATTCCGTTTGTTGTCGATGCCGGCATGGAAAGCTGCGCGGTGTCGATCAAGGCCTGAGCTCCTCCTCCACGAGAATGAAGGTGCTGTTTTAGTCTAAAAAGAAAAATTAAACAGAAAAGAGTTGCGGTTGTTCTTGCTACTGGAGGATTTCAATGCGTATGCGTTCGCATTTCAGTACACACTGGGCAATTTGTTGTTGGAGTTCGTTCAGCTGTGCATTCTGCTGTGCAATGGTGTTTTCCAACGAGTCGTCTGCAGCTTTTGAGAAGGTTTGCACATCTAGAAGACAGTAAAAACAAAAAAATACTCACCTCCGTCTAAGTGGACAAAAAAGGAAGCAAATAACACAACAAAAATCGTAAACCCCTCGAGCGTCACCTGCATCCTGCCGTGCAATTTTGACGGCGGCGTACAGAAAACACCAGGAAGGCGAAAAGTTATTGTGAGAAAAGAAAGATAGGAAATATATAGAATGTAATACAATAATGTATCGCTGCTGCTTTGCCCTGAAGATCAAGCAATTCCAACCTACGGAAGTGCATCGTGCATACAATCTGCAAAAATCCAGCTGCGTATACACCCCAAGGCCAAAACACCAACGGGAACAGCGCCACCTCTGATTTATTATAGTATACAGGGAAGACAGTTTGCTTTTTTCCATCTTATTTTTTTCTTCGGACTTGTTTTCTTCATGTTCCTCTTCGTGTTGTCCGAGAAATACACCCCAGATATCCTCCAGATAGGCTTCTCGGCGCACGTTTCCATTATCACAACCGCGCCTTTTGAATTTCTTATTTCATGAGAAGAGGCGGTTAGTCTGCATCTGTTTCACTACAGTAACCTGCATTCCTTAGGGCATAGAAAAAAGGGAAAATATAAAGTGTTTGTTTTGTCAAGGGAGAAATTAAAGAATTATTTCTGTATTAATACAACAAGAAGGCCAAAGTCAAGTGCTTCTGCTTTCCTAGAACTGACAAGTTGTAATTTGTCTATTTCACAAAAAAATTTGTGTTGACTTCCTGTCTAGAATAAATAAACAACAAGACAAACAGACGAAAGAGGATTTTTTAATACGCAAAGAGAAAGAAACTCCCGGTACTCCGATTCTAAATGCAGGTGAGCACACACACGAAAGCCAATATGAATAGGACAGATATTACACGCCTGCATTTTCTGCGGTAGGAGCATGAATAGTACAGTGCATTTGTTTATTTATTGAGACTATTGATTCTCGGCATATAAATAGCTGTATATATATAGGCGTATATTTGTGCATATAAATACATCTACTTGTCATGCTTTTTATCGCTAAAGAGTTTCACATGATAGCCAATTCCAACTGAAACCCAAACCCTGACAAAGAAGACGCAAAAAGACAGCCAGCTGAGATTTGCCTGTATTACGGATGTTATTTTCTATCTATATGTGCGTATGTACGTGCAAAGTGGTGATGATTGGTAGACTAGAATTTCTATAATAGGAGCCATTGCTGTTTTTGTTTATTATAACGTTGTCTAGAAAGAAAAAAAAAGGAAAAAATAACTCTTTAAATCCCTCGAAGATGAATTGGTTGTTCTTTGCTCCTCTCCCGTTGATGACCGCTTCAGGAGATTTGCAATTTTTCTTTGCACACCAACCCGAGGGAAAACAGAAGAAGAAACGGGAGAAAGGAAACCCCAGAAAGGATTTCTAATCAAGAAGACCTTTGGTGCGCTCGTCGTTTATGCATAACACAAACTCCTTCAACGCATTCATTTTGCTGCTACTTCCACTAATTGTTCAAGCCAAAGTAAACACTACCCGAAAACTCTACTGGCGACGTTTGGGGCCGCTAGAGAGATGCGCCTGCAGCGGGGAGACCTCTAGGGCCTCCTCAGAAGAAAATCAGGGTGTCGTCTTCACGTTGTGATATAAATATACATATAAATATAAATATTGATATTATTCCAACCCAAATAATAAATATCAATATAAACGTATAAATATAAATGTGCAAAATTTACTACTTCACGCACGAAACCTCATCAACTCACACTTTTAGGTGAGGGGCAGTGGGACTCTGCTTCCTCCACTGCACGAAGACGAAAGATTAATTAAGCAAGCCACTGAGAAGAGATGAGAGCAGAGCTTCTAGTCACCTAAACCAGCAAAAGATGAGAAATGAACAAGAAGCCCGTGTTCACGAGAAGAAGACGCTGGGTGGGGTGTACGTACGTACATACATTCGGATGTGTTTACCAGTTGCCGTTCAAATGGCTGTCCACTGTACGCGCCACAACTGCATAAGCGAAGAGATTAGGAGAGGGTACATTCCTCACAACTCTGCGCGTTTGTTCCGCCAATCTGTTGGGAAGTCTGCTGAGAAATTCTTGAGCTAAGGATTCCTCCGTTCTTTTTATTTCGGTGTTTGTACGTTCACACAGTCGGGTGTACGCGTCGTGCAACAGCCCTAATTCAACGTATAACTTCAAGGCCTTGTGGGGGGGAGCCCCCCGCAACTCCCTCCTTAAGAAAGTCTCGGGGTTTCCTAGGCATAAGAGGCGCAGCATCAACTCCACCAGCGTTTGATAATCTCTCTGTCGGCCTGGGAAGAGCATTTGCATGCGTTTTCTGTAGAAATAGCGAACCGTACCGTCCATTTGCCCCTCCGCAATCTCCAGCAATTGACTTTCTTTGTTGAATCGACAAGCGAAACTCTCAACAGAACACAAAAACTTATCTACTTCTAAGTACGACACAGGAACAGACTGCAGCCGCCGAACGTGTGCAAGGGCCTCCCTCTCGATTGGACCTCCAAAGAAGACGGATTCCCCCGCTAATGGCTGCAAAACACCTTCAACAAATACTTCAGAAGATGGTATTTGGGCTAGAAGGCTGGATCGCGAGGAAGCTACCGAGTCGCCCTGAGGTGTATGTACACCCGAAACCCACGCATTCAAGTTTCCGTCCGCGTCTGTCGTCGTTGACGCCGGGAGAGGGGGCCCTAGAGATGGTAACATAAGTGCATCATCAGCTTTTATTTCTCCCACTGGTTCATTTGCAAGCATTTGCATTAAATGATGATGCAAATTATCTGGGTTTCTCGGCATATTCCGTACAAACGCTGTGGCGTTCGGCTCGTTGGGGGGGGAGGCGGCTCGCTCGGTTCTGACCATGATAAACACGTGGGAAAAAAAGGCGAAAGAAGGAGTAATTATGATTATATATAACAACTGGATTGAAACACATCAATTTTGTGATTAATATACAACAAAAATCGCAAAAAAAACCTGCAGCAGCGGCACCAGCAACACTACCATCAGAACCCCTCGAGCTAGCAGTGCAGCTGCTGCGGCGCGGGCTCGCCTGAGCATTGCACGACACGGAGTTTCTGCATAATGTGTGTATATTTCTTGAGTTTAAATTCCAATTTATATTTATATTTTGATTCAATTCTATTAAATTCAACTTTATTTCGCCTTTTTATCCCCAAATAACTCCAATTTACGGACGCAATATTCCAACTCGCGAGCAACTACTCTACCGCACTGGCAGCTCGAGCCTGGGACGGCAGCAAGGCACACTAGGTATAGTATAATTATCTTGTAGTTTTGTTTTCTTTTGTATTTATTTTTAATCGATTTGAACTTATATTTACTTCACTGTCTTCACTGCACATTTATTTCCCTCTTCTTACGTTTTTTTCGCCGTGTTTCGCCCTCTAACTCGCGCTCGAGTCCTCATCGGCCCCACACAGCAGCAAGAGGATCGTCTCCTCCCGTGCTGCTGTTCTGTTGCAGTTGCTGCAGTTGCTGCAGCCGTAAGAGCAGTATCAACAGCAGTAAACCCCCAGCGTTTTCTTCGTTTTCTTCTCTCATTTAAATGCTTATTACATGTGAAAATGTATTGTTGATGTGTATCAAAAATCTCTACGTTTAATTGAGCTCCTCCTCTACTTTCTTGCTCTCTTTTTGTATATCTTCTTCTCGTAACCGTGCAAAGCAAAAGGAATAAAATTATTGGCGTAGGGCTTCAAAGAAGAGTCTTCTACAACCCCCAAAAGACAATAGGAACAATAATAAAATCTAATAATTATAATTAATAATAAAAATTATGCTTATGCATATACGTAATATATATACATTCGTAGGTGTACAGTTATTTACATATATACAATTGCACGTACACACATCATATACATACACATCTATAAATATATATTACATAAACGTAATTATATATATACACACATTTGCATAAACACGTACACACACATACATACACACACATATATATATATGATATATGATATATATATATATATATATACATGATATATATATATATATATATTATATATATACATGATATATATATATATATAT